GGCTCGGGCCCCATAAAGCGGCGGGCCCGGGCGGCGGCGCGGGCGGAGGATGCTCCGCTCCACCAAAGGCGCCTCCAAGGCGCGCCGGGACCAGATCAACGCCCAGATCCGCGCCCTGCGCGACCTCCTCCCGCTGCCCGACGGCGACCGGCCGCGCCTCTCGTACCTGCACGTCATGGCCCTCGCCTGCATCTACACCCGCAAGGGAGCCTGCCTGCGGCCAGGTGCGAGCCGGGACCGGGGACGGAGCGGGGATGGAGCGGGGACGGAGCCGGGATGGAGCCGGGATGGAGCCGGGATGGAGCCGGGATGGAGCCGGGATGGAGCGGGGATGGAGCGGGGACGGAGCCGGGATGGAGCGGGGATGGAGCCGGGATGGAGCGGGGATGGAGCCGGGATGGAGCGGGGATGGAGCGGGACCGGGGACGGAGCGGGGATGGAGCCGGGATGAACCGGGGATGGAGCGGGGATGGAGCGGGACCGGGGACGGACCGGGACCGGGGATGGAGCGGGGACGGAGCCAGGATGGAGCGGGGATGGACCGGGGACAGACTGGGACCGGGGATGGAGCGGGGACGGAGCCGGGATGGAGCGGGACCGGGGATGGAGCGGGACCGAGGAGGGGATGGAGCGGGGATGGAGCGGGGATGGAGCGGGGATGGGATCCGGGACCAGGGATTGACCCACACCATGGGATCGGGGAGTGGAGAGGGACCGGGGATTGACCGGGGACAGACCGGGAAGGGACCGGGAATGACACCGGGAAGGGACCGGGAATGACACGGGGCTGGCAGCAGCCACCGGCGTCAGGCAGCGGAGGGAGCCGCTCTCGGGAGCGAGGACCGGGCAGGGACCGGGCAGGGACCGGGATGGGGACAGGGATGGGGAGCGGGATGGGGACAGGGATGGGGACAGGGATGGGGACGGGGATGGGGACAGGGATGGGGACCGGGGCCGTTCAGCACCGCGGGCAGGGACCGGGGCCGGTGCAGCACCGCGGAGAGCGGCGGGAGGTTCCCGTTCAGCACCGCGGAGAGCGGCGGGGACCGGGTGGGGCGGTGGGACGGGGACTGGAACCGGGATCGGTGACGGGGACCGGTGACAGGGATCGGGACCGGGATCGGTGACAGGGATTGGGATCGGTGACGGGGATCGGGATCGGTGACAGGGACCGGGATCGGTGACAGGGATCGGGGACCAGGATCGGTGACAGGGACTGGGATCCGTGACAGGGATCGGGACCGGGATCGGTGACAGGAATCGGGATCGGTGACGGGGATCGGGATCGGTGACGGGGATCGGGATCGGTGACAGGGACTGGGACCGGGATCGGTGACAGGGATTGGTGACAGGGATCGGGACTGGGATCGGGACAGGGACCGGGATCGGTGACAGGGACCAGGATCGGTGACAGGGACGGCGGCTGGGACGGAGGAGCCGGGACAGGGACAGGGACAGGGACAGGGACCAGAGCTGGCCGCACACGGGAGGGGCTCCGGCGGCTCCGTGGCTGACCGGTGTCCCCTCGTGTCCCCACGCCAGGCCCGAGCCGGGGGGCGCCCCTGGAGCTGCTGGGGGGGCCGGAGCTCGCCGACCTGGTGGCGTCGCTGCCCGGGTTCCTGCTGGCCGTGACCCGCGAGGGGAAGCTGGTCGGGGTCACCGACAACGTGGCGCAGCACCTGGGCCACTCCATGGTGAGCGGCCGGACGGGCCGGGGGCGGGCGGGGGTCCCGGGGGCGCCGAGGGTCCCGGGGGAGCTGGGGGCTCACCCCGGCCTCCCTCCCTGCCCCCCCCAGGTGGACCTGGTGGCACAAGGGGACAGCATCTACGACCTGCTGGACCCCGCCGATCACCCCCTGGTGCGGCAGCAGCTGAGCCTGCCCGGGGCCCCCCAGGCAGGTGGGTGGGGGTCCGGGGGGGTCTGGGGGCTCCGGGAGGGCTCCGGGAGGGATGGAGGGATGGGCAGGAGGGAGGGATGGACAGAGGGATGGACACGGAGTGACCGACACCCCCCACCCCCGGTCCCCCCCAGAGCGCCTCTTCCGCTGCCGCTTCACCACGTCCCGCGCCTCTCGCCGGCCGAGCGCCGGCCGCAAGCTGGTGCTGCTGCGGGGGCGCTTCCAGGAGCCCCCCGGGCCCCCCGGGGCCGCCCCCGCGCTCTTCGTGGCTTTCTGCGCCCCCCTGGACCCCCCGCCCTGGCCCTGCCCCGACTGCCTCCTGCTGCCGGCCTTCCAGAGCCGCCACGCCCGCGACCTGGCCCTGCTGGACATCTCCGACAGGTGAGGTGTGGCCGCGGGTGGCCGCGGGTGGCCGGAGGGGACCCGTCTGGGCGGACGAGTGACCCCGACCTGGTGTCCGGCAGTGTCCTGGTGCACCTGGGCTACGGCCGGGCGGAGCTGCGGGGCCGCTCCTGGTACCGCCTGCTGCACCCCGAGGACCTCGGCCACGTCGCCCGCCAGCACCTGCGCCTCGGTCAGTGTCGCCAGGGTCCCCTGGGTGTCCCTGTCCCCTCCCCTCGTGTCCCTGCGGCCCCCGGGGTCCCTCAGTCCCCTGCGGGTGTCCCTGTCCCCCGTGTCCCCAGGGGGTCCCCACATCGCCCTGGCTTTGTCCCCTCGGTGTCCCCGCGTGTCCCCTGCGTGGCCCTGGGGCTGCCCCATCCTTGTCGGTGTTGCTGTGTCCCCAAACCTCTCCGTCATCCCAGCCGATGTCCCCTGTCCCCAGCGCTGTCCCCAGCGATGTCCCCTGCCCGTCCCCACTGCCCGTCCCCGCTGACCATCCCCACTGACCATCCCCACTGACCATCCCCACTGACCATCCCCGCTGACCATCCCCGCTGACCATCCCCGCTGACCATCCCCGCTGACCATCCCCGCTGACCATCCCCGCTGACCATCCCTGCTGACCATCCCCGCTGACCATCCCTGCTGACCATCCCTGCTGACCATCCCTGCTGACCATCCCTGCTGACCATCCCTGCTGACCATCCCTGCTGACCATCCCTGCTGACCATCCCTGCTGACCATCCCTGCTGACCATCCCTGCTGACCATCCCTGCTGACCATCCCTGCTGACCATCCCTGCTGACCATCCCTGCTGACCATCCCTGCTGACCATCCCTGCTGACCATCCCCGCTGACCATCCCTGCTGACCATCACCGTGTCCCCACACCCCTGTCCATCCCCACTGACCATCGCCGTGTCCCCACAGCCAGCGCGGGGCCGGAGGCTCGCGGCGAGTTGGTGACGCGGCTGCAGCGCAAGGACGGCCTGGGCTGGACGTGGGTCTACGCCCGCCTGCGGCCAGAGGGGCCGGCCCTGCTCGCCCACAACTTCGTCATCAGGTCAGTGCCCGGAGCTCAGCGGTCAGCGGTCAGTGGTCAGTGGTCAGCAGTCAGTGGTCAGTGCCCAGAGTTCAGTGGTCAGTGGTCACTGGTCAGCGCCCAGGGGTCACAGCAGCCCCTGGGGACACCCGGCTGGCCGCAGACGCCCCTGACCGCCGCTGTGTCCCCCCGCAGTGAGGCCGAGGCCTGGTGCCTGCGGCAGCAGCTGGCGGCCGAAGCCCCCCCGGGACCCCCGGAGCCGTTCGGGCCCGGCCTCGACTTCCCCGGCGCCGCCGTCGGAGCCGGAGGCGACCTCGGCCCCGGCATCGAGCTCGGCGTGGGGCCCGGCCTGGGCGACGGCGCCGGACACGGCCTCAGCCTCGCGGTCAGCGCCGGCTGCGGCCTCGGAGCCGACGTCGGACACGGCCTGGGAGGCAACGCCGCGGCCACCGCTGACCCCGGCCTGGGGGCCACCATCGGACACGGCCTGGAAGCCGCCCTGGGCAGCGGCGTGGAGCCCGGCCTTGGGGCCACCATCGGACACTGCCTCGGACACGGCGCCGCGGCCACCGCTGACCACGGCCTGGGAGCCACCATCGGACACGGCCTCAGACACGGCGCCGCGGCCACCGCTGACCACGGCCTGGGGACTGGCATTGGACACGGCCTGGGAGCCAACACTGCGGCCACCATTGACCCTGGACTCGGGGCCACCATCGGACATGGACTGGGAGCCAACACCGCGGCCACCGCTGACCCCGGTCTGGGGGCCACCATCGGACACGGCCTCGGACACGGCGCCGCGGCCACCGCTGACCGCAGCCTCGGGGCTGGCGTCGCCCCCAACGTCGGCCACGCTCTCGGAGACGCCGTCGGCCACGGCCTGGGCTCGGACGCCGGCGTCGGCCTCGCCGTGGGAAGCGGCATCAGAGTGGACGTTGGCCTGGGCCTGGCGGCCGGAGCCGACGTGGGCCCCGCGCTCGGGACTGACCTCGGCCAGGACATCGGAGCGGGCGGCGCGGCCGAAGTGACCGCCGGCATCGGGCCGGGGGTGGCCCTCGGCATCGGGCCCGGCCTGGCCGGCGGCGCCATCCGGGCCGGCGTCGGGCTGGGCATCGGCACCGCCGCGCTGCCCCCGGACATCGGAGTGACCGTCGGGGCCGGAGTGACCGCCGGCCTCGGCCTGGGCCCCGGCGTGGGAGCCGGAGCCGGGGTTGGACTCGGCCTCGGAGCCGCCCTCGGAGCCAACGTGGGCTCGACTCTCCCGTCCGGCACCGGCCCCGGCCTCGGACACAACGTCGGACTCGCCGTGGGCTCCGGGGTTGGACTGGCGGTCGGAGCCGCCCTCGGGCCCGAGATGGACATTGGCCTGGGAGTCGGCGCCGCTCTCGCTCCGGACGTCGGCCCCGCCGCCGGACTCGGCCTGGCCTCCGGCCCCGGCTCGGACATCGGTGTCGGCCTGGCGGCCGGAGCGGCCGGAGCGGCCGGAGGCCCCGGCCTGGGATCCGCGCTGGGCTTCGCCGTGGGGGCCGCGCTCGGGGCCGGCGCCTGCCCCGGCCTGGGGCCGGACATCGGCCCCGACCCCGACCTCGGGCTCGGGCTCGGCCCCTCCGCCCCGCTGGGCCCCCCGCTCGGGCTGGTGCGCCTGGCGCCGGGGCTGGGGGTCCCCGAGACCCCCGGGACGGGCACCGAGACCTGGACGCCGCCCTACACCCCCCGGCAGGCGCCCCCCTTCGCCTTCGGGCCCCCCGAGCCCCCCGAGCCCGCGGCCGAGAAGCTCCCGCCCAGCCCCGAGAGCCCGGGGGGGGTCTCGGGGGGTCCCCCCGGGGCTCTGCTGACCCCCGAGACGTCTCCGCCGCCCCCCGCCGCCCCCGCCGGACCCGCCCTGCGCCGGCTGCTGCAGGGCCTGGCTGCCATCGCCACCCGCGGCGGCCCCCGGCGCCCCTCGGGGGGGACCCCCGGACCACGGCCGGTCCCCCCGCCCCGGTCGCCCCGCGACCCCTTCGCTGAGTTGTATCAACTCCCCCAGAGCCGCCTCCAGGACGCCTTCCGCAAAGGTGGGGGGCTCGGGGGGCTCGGGGGGTGACAGGGGGGACAGGGGTGACGGGGATGGGGGGACAGGAGGGACAGGGGGGACAGGGGGACAGAAATGGGACAGGGATGGGGGAACAGGAGGTGACAGGAGGGACAGGTGGGACAAGGACGGGGGGACAGGGGGTGACAGGAGCGACAGGGACAGGGGGGGACAAGGGTGAGGGGACGGAAATGGGACGGGGATGGGGGAACAGGAGGGACAGAGGGGACAGAGGGGACAGGGACAGGGGGACAGGGATGGGGGAACAGGGAGGGACAGAGAGGGACAGGAGGTGACAGGGGGGACAGGAGGGACAGGGGGACACAGGCACCGCGGGACGCTCCAGGACAGGACCCCCACAGCCGGGTCCCCTCCTTGGGGGCTGTTTGGATGGGTGGGGGGCGGTGCCGGAGCCCCCCGGCTCCCTGTTCTGGGGACAAGGGACAATCCCGGCTGGGGACGGGGTGACCCCGGGACCCGCGGGGTATTTGGGGGCGGCTCGGGGGGGATTTTTGGGGTGTCCCTGACGTGTCGCTCTGTCCCCACAGCCGGAAGCCAGCGCGCCCCGTCGTTCTGAACTAAGTCTGTGACGCGACTTGCCCCCAGTATGGCATATTGTCATTGTCACCCCGGCCCGGGCCAGCGTCCCCCCGGCCCCGGCCGCGCCCCCCGCCCGCCGCCCCCCGGGGCCGCTCGTGCTAATTTAACTCGTAACGAGTCTCTAAGGTAATTGGGGGGGGGCTGGTGGCCCCCCCCTCCCCCAGCCCGGACGCCTGGGGACCGTCCCTCGTGTCCCCTCCCCCCCCCGTCCCCTCTCCCCCTCCCCCCACCCCAGGACCCGTCGCCAAAATTTTTTTGGGTCTCTGGAGGGGGGCGGGGGGGGGGCGGGGGGGGTTTGGACCCACCTGTGCCCCTCCCCCCAGAGCGGAGTGTCCTTCTTGTCCCTTGTCACCCACCTCGTCCCTGTCACCCCCGCCCCCACCTCGGGGTCTGCGTTTTTGGCAGAGTCACCCCGAAAATCGCGTCCCCTCCCTCCCCCCCCGTGGGCGTCACCCTGAATGTCCCCAGTGCCGGGGACCGAGGCACGATGTGGCTTGATGTCCCCGTGATGTCCCGGTGATGTCCCCGTGATGTCCCCACGATGTCCCGGTGGTGTCCCCCGTGTCCCCCGTGTCCCCCGTGTCCCCCGAGCCGTGGGGCAGACGCACAATGTGGGTGTCCCCATTGTCCCCAAGCCGAGCCGTGACCTGATGTCCCCCCGTTGTCCCCAGGCCCGGGGGACGTGGCCACCGCTTCCCCCGAGCCACCGGGCCAGGCCAGGTCACGGCTCGGTGTCCCCGATGTCCCCAACGCTGTCCTCCAAGGGACATCCTGGCCTGATGTCCCCAACGTCCCCAATGTCCCCAACCCGAGACTGAGACACGTCGTGACTCAGTGTCCCCAATGTCCCCGGTGTCCCCAACACCCCCCGACGTCCCCGGTGTCCCCAACGCCCCCACCCCCACCCCGAGACACGTCGCAGCGCGATGTCACCGAGCCCGAGGCACCGAGACCGTCACAACTCGGTGTCCCCAACGCCCCCGAGGGGACACGGGCGCCTCGTCACTGCTGTGACCCCCGCGGACGCCACCTGGACAGACCGAGGTGTCCCAGCCCGATGTCCCCGATGTCCCTCCTCGTCACTGCCTCGGCCTGACACAACTCGTGGCTTGATGTCCCCAATGTCCCCAAGGGATGTGGGACCCGCTCGCGTCCCCGCATCAAAGACTGAGACCCCTCCCCACGATGTCCCCCGGTGTCCCCCGTGCCCCCAACCCCGAGATTGTCGCCACCCGATGTCCCCGAAGGAGGGGGGGACACTGCCACCGTCCCTGCCCGAGGGACCGAGCCCCGCCGTGTCCCCGGTGCTGTCCCCGGTGATGTCCCCAATGTCCCCGGTGATGTTCCCGGTGATGTCCCCGGTGTCCCCTGGAGGCCCCGTGGCCCCGACACCCCCGGCAATAAAAGTGTCCCCCATGGTCCCCGTGCCTGTGGTGGCTTCTTCCCGGGGACCCGGGAATTTGGGGACAAATCAGGAATTTTGGGGTGGGGACAGGAATTTGGGGACAAATCAGGAATTTTGGGGATCCAGGAATTGGGGACAAATCAGGAATTTTGGAGTGGGGACAGGAATTTGGGGACAAATCAGGAATTTTGGGGTGGGGACAGGAATTTGGGGACAAATCAGGAATTTTGGGGATCCAGGAATTGGGGACAAATCAGGAATTTTGGAGTGGGGACAGGAATTTGGGGACAAATCAGGAATTTTGGAGTGGGGACAGGAATTGGGGACAAATCAGGAATTTTGGGGATCCAGGAATTTGGGGACAAATCAGGAATTTTGGGGGGGGATCCAGGAATTTGGGGACAAATCAGGAATTTTTTGGGGGGGGATCCAGGAATTGGGGACAAATCAGGAATTTTTTGGGGGGACGCCGGAATTTGGGGGTCCCCGGGGCCGAAACCACGCCCACATGGTTCAGACCACGCCCACAAAGTTCAAACCACGCCCACGAGCGGTGTAACAGCGCCCTCTCACGTGGCCCTACCGAATTTGCATAACCACGCCCCTTTTGTGTGTGGGGCCGCGCCCCTTCCTTCCCGCGCATGCGCAGCTCCTCCCGGCGCCGACGCAGCGCGGTGAGTCCCGGACTGGTCCCAGTGACCCCAAACTGGGACCAGTCACCCCTAACTGGTCCCGATATCCCCGGAACTGGACCCAGCCCGTCCCCCGTACCCCCCAAACTGGGACCAGTCACCCCAAACTGGGACCAGTCACCCCAAACTGGGACCGGTCACCCCAAACTGGTCCGGATCCCCCCGGAACTGGACCCAGCCCCTCCCCCGTACGCCCCAAACTGGGACCAGTGACCCCAAACTGGTCCGGATCCCCCCGGAACTGGACCCAGCCCCTCCCCCCCAGCCCCCAAACCGGGACCAGTGACCCCAAACTGGGACCGGTGACCCCAAACTGGGACCAGTCACCCCAAACTGGTCGCAGCACGCCCGTACTGGTCCCAGTAGCCCCGTACTGGTTCCAGCATGCCGGACTGGTCCTGGCTCCGCGCCGGCCCCAGAGACCCCCAGAATCCTCCCAGTAACCCCCAGTATCCCCCAGTACCCTGCCAGTACCCCCTCCTGACCCCTCCCAGTGCCCCCCAGTAGCTC